TTTAGGATTTGGGGTTTGGGGTTTGGGATTTGGGGTTTGGGGTTTGGGATTTGGGGTTTGGGATTTGGGGTTTGGGATCCCTCCCTCTGGAAGCGCCCCCGCGGGACCCCGCTCTGTCCCCCCCGTCCCCTCCCGCCCGGCCCGGGGGTCCCGGGGGTCCCGGGGGGCTCGGGGGGCTCGGGCCGGACGCGCCGCTGCCCTTTGCACAGGATGCGGCCGCAGGAAAATCCAACTTTCCTGGAAACCCGCTTCAAAGCGGATCCAAGGATGCTGGGAAGGGCAGGAGCAGCTCCCGGTCCCGCCGCCCGCTGTCCCCACCCCGCATTCCCGCCGGGATCATCCCTGGAATTCCCGTGCCGGAATTCCAGGGATGGAAGGATTGGAATCCCGTTTTTCCAGCCCCCTCTCCACTCCTGGAGTAACAACCCCAGCGCCCGATAACCCGGCGGGATGGAATTCCCTGGAATTCCCGGGCCGACGGTGGGAATTTTGGAGCTAAAGATCATTCCAGGCAATTCCAGGGACGCGCCGGGCACCGAAGTGAGATGGAAGGAACGGAATTCCATTCTTTTTTCTCCACTCCAGGAACAACCCCAGATATCCCCGATCCCCTGGATAACCTGGATGATCCCTGGAATTCCCACTCCAGGGCTGGGAATTCCGGAGCGGGACGCAATCCCAGACAATTCCAGGGACGCGCTGGGCACCCACAGGGGGCACGGGGAACAAAATCCCAGGATTTTCCTCCCCATCTCCGGGAACAACAAGCTCCAGGAACAGAAGCTGCGCCCTGATAACCCGGCGGGATCGAATTCCCACGAATTTGGGGTGGGAGACAATTCCCGAAGTGGGATGGAGAAAAGGAATCCCAGATTTTTTCCCTCTCTCCGCTCCGGGAATAAAAAGTCCAGCGCCAGCAAAGGCTGCGCCCTGATAACCTGAGGGATCGAATTCCCGGCAGTGGGAATCTGGGGCGGGAGAGAATTCCAGAAATGGGATGGAGAAATGGAATCCCATTTTTTTTCCCCCCCATCTCCAGGAACAACAACCCCAACTCCAGCAGAAGCTGCGCCCTGATAACCCGGAGGGATCGAATTCCCACGAATTTGGGGTGGGAGAGAATTCCCAAAATGGGATGGAGAAATAGAATCCCAGATTTTTTTTCCCCCTCTCTCCGCTCCAGGAATAAAAAGTCCAGCCCCAGCAGAGGTTGCGCCCTGATAACCCGGCGGGATCGAATTCCCACGAATTTGGGGTGGGAGACAATTCCCGAAGCGGGATGGAGAAAAGGAATCCCATTTTTCTCCCCCCATCTCCAGGAACAACCCCAACTCCAGCAGAAGCTGCGCCCTGATAACCCGGCGGGTCCCCGGGAGCATCCGGCACGGCAGGAAGGAGCCGACGGGAGGAAATATTAAATCCAGGGATATAAACATCGGGAGCAGCTCCGCCCCAACGCGGCCCCCCTGAAAAGCGGGGTCCGGGCGGGGTGGGGCCGCCAGAGCCCGGGCGAGGATGGAGAAGAGCAGCTTCGCCATGGCCAAATTCGGTTTGGAGCCCAAGGAGGCGATGCCCAAGCGCGACTGCGGTTTTTACCTGAAATACATTTTCCTTTTCACCTCGCTGATCCAATTCCTGATCATCCTGGGGCTCGTGCTCTTCATGGTGTACGGGAACGCTCAGGCGGGCACCGACACCCACCTGAGGCTGCTGGAGGAGCAGGTGCAGAGCCACTACCGCAGGATTGTCACCCTGGGTGCCACCAACGCCAACCTCAGCCGCGCCCTCAACGCCACCCTCAAGGACAAGGAGAAGCTGCAGGGGCTGGCGCTGAAGGTGCAGAGGGAGCTGGAGAAGTGTAACAGCAGCCAGGCTTCCAGCAGCCTCCCGCAGGTGAATCCCGGGATTTTGGGGAGGGATGGGAATTCCCAGCTCCGAGGCGGAGGCGGTGGAGCCTGCGAGTCCCCGCGGTGCCCGGAGAGGGGGGTTTGGGCAAGGCGGGTTGGGATTTTGGGGTTTTCTTCTTCATCCTCTTCCTGCTGTTCCTCTGGAGCTCTCGCCGGGGGATGCCCGGGGATCCTTTTGGGGTGTTCTGATCCCTTCCTCCTCCTCCTCCTCCTTCTCCCTCTCCTCCTCATCCTCCCCAGAGCCCGGATCTCTCCCGGCGCTCACCAGGAGATGCCAGGGGGGTCCTTTTGGGGTGTTCTGATCCCTTCCTCCTCCTCCTCGTTCTCCTCCTCC